CTGCCAGGCCCCAATCTGCACGTCAATGGTGCCCCTGGCGGGAATACAACAACAGTTTAGTAGCCCATAGCTGGTTTAGAGCCAGAAATCTGCGGGGCACTGAACAGCTAGGAAAAGGGGAGGGGATGAGGGTTCGATAGGAGAGGATCTAAACCCCAAACGCCTTTCCCTCTAGGTCACAACGGAAGGGAAAGAAAGCGAAACTTAAGAGTTCCCTCAAGCACCCTGGCAAGTCCTAGTTCGCAGGATGTAAAAACCCACGCTCGAAGGCCTAGGAGCGGGCCTACAGGTCACAGGGCACCCTGCTGTCGCTGCCTCTGGGAAAGTGGAGGTACTGGCTCCTCCCAGAGGTTGAGCTCCAGGATTCAAGCCACTTTGCTGCTCAGCAGGCCTTGGGGAAAAACCTTGCGTGGTCTGGCTTGGAATGTTGACCATTTTCGGGACGGAATGGGGGTGCCAAAGCTTCTAGACCCATCAAATAACTGCTTAACTGTGAGAAGTCATCTCTAGGGAGGAACCAGTCATTTGAATTCCCTTGTCACCTCTGGCCTTGGCTCTGGCTTTTTTTTGGGGGGGAGGGGGTGTAGCAAGGTAGGATCTCAAGAAAGAAGAATTGCTCCCCTTCAGCTTCGGGTGGTCTTCTTTCCTCTCTTGCCTTTCATCCACCTGTTACTGAACGCTTGGATTCGACGAAGTTTTCACTCCCATGATAGATTCACTATAGAAATAACAGTGGAGGTCTAGAGATTTTTCTGGGAAGGAAAAAAAAAAAAGAAAAGAAAAGAGACAAAGAGAAAAGAACCAGATGAGTCAGAAGTCTCTGATAAGATCTGCTGCTGCTGAGCACTTCTCCACGATTAAGAGGAGGAGGACAGACGAAAATACTTTTTAGAGTGCTAGTGGGAAAACTCAGCCAGAGAAATGCCTGCGTATCAAACTATTACATTAAAGTCTTTAAGGGTTTCTTTCTTAGTTTTAAAATAATTACTAAAAGGGAGGAAGGGTCTTCCGGTGGAGCGAGTAAGCCCCCGAGTGGAACTGGAGAGTGGGGAGTGGTCAACTTGGCCAAGGGGGTGTCTCCTTCGGGTTCTTCACCAGCCGGCCATTGCGCCGCCAACGTGCCGGCGTTAGTAACATCAAATCTCATGAAGGATCGCGTCCTTCTTTAATTAAAAAGGAGAATCTTGGGAAAACTGGAGCCGATTAGCACCGGAAGAGTTGGTTCCCAATGATTTATTTTGATGCACGTATGACACGGCACGGAGAGCCTCAGACGCTCCTGGCTCTGCTTTTCGGCTCCCACCAGAAGCGGCTGTGCACCGCCATCCGAATTATGTTCTTGTCCACGCTGCACCTGGGAAACCTTGCTGCCCAAACACCCCGATGAATTGTCAGTTCGCTCCTGCTTCACACAAACGGGAGCACAATCATTCAACCCCCTTAGCTGTCGAGTAACCTCTTCAGGATACAACTTTTATTTTACACGTAGCAATTAGGAGATCGCAAACCCCAACCGAGCCACCGAAGCCGGTTGGCAGAATCTCCAACCTGGGGGAAAGCGCAAAGCTAATAAAACTCCCAGGGCGCTGCAGCCCGAGGGGGTAACAGCCACAAGCGGAGGCGATCTCCAGTTGGGCAAAAATCCTGGAGTGACTTTGCTGGTCCTGGTTTGGTGGTTACGATTCATTGCGAAAGGGATAATGGTTTCTAATAAAATCGGACGGGGACGAAAAGCAGATCGGATAGTGGCGGCTGTAGTAGCAGGGGTAGGGGGTACTAAAAGTTGGTCTCTTGGCGCCGCCGGTGGTACCCTGCGTACTACGGAGCTTTATCCAAGGCATCTTTGGCTGGCAGGATCCGAAGACAGGCGAAGGGAAAAGGGATGAAATTGGGCCGGGCTAGGGGCCTCTGGAGCAAGGGAGGGTGGTGGAGCTTTGGGCAGAGCTGTTGGGCTAGCAGGCAGGCGTGCGGGCGTGTGTTCTGGGAGCAAGTTCGCGGCTTGAAGAGGCCTTTATACCTGGGTCGGAGCGGCCGGCGGCAGATCGTGGTCCTGGCGAGCAATTGGACTATTGTTGATATGCTAATGAGGCGATTAGGCTGTTGGTGAAGAGCAGGAAAAGGGAAAAGTTTCTACCATTAGAGGGAGATCTCCGAGCGCACACGGGAGCTCTCTAACCCTTCTCTCCTCCTCCCTCCTCGCCCTTCTCCTCCCGGCCCTCCTCCTCCTCTCCCTCCTCCTCCTTCCTACCCTTCTCCTCCTCCTCGCCCTCCTCTCCTCCTCCTCCTCTTGTGCTCACCGCCCGCAGCCCGCACTTTGCGCTAACCTAGAGAGTAGCTCCGCTGGGGTGCGAGGCGCAGAGGGGCAAATCCGATCACGCCGATCCATGAAAATGCTTTGGAAACTGACGGATAATATCAAGTACGAAGACTGTGAGGTAAGCGCGGCGCCGGCTCAGTCATCCTTGCGGCCACTGGCTTGGAGATCGACCCTCCCTCTCCTCCTCCTCTCCACGCAGCTAGCTGCGAAATGCGGGTGGAAAAAACTTTCACCAGCGCTGCGCCCGCCCCTCGAATTCGCCCGAAGAGCACGGGGAAGAAGCCGGAGAGGGTGGACATGGTTCTTGCTTCTTTCACTTTTGTCCTTTGGAGCTCGTGTCCCACTTTCCGCCCCCCCCTTTTTTTTTCTGCTTACTTTTGGGTTTGCCTGAGAGTGGAACTAAGAGACATGCTTGTGTTTTTTTTTTTTTTTAAACAATTGCTGGCAACTAGGCACGTGCCTGCGCACTCCACTGTCTCTTGAGCAAGAATCTGGGGGCACCCACAGTAGCAGGAAGAAAAAAGGCAAATGTTCCCCCTTTCACCTACTCTCTGAGATTAATATTCTCTTTTCTTTCATTCATTCTTTTCTTTCTAAAGAGGTTCCCTTCTTGCATTTGGAGAAGGGTCCACACACTTCGCTCTGACCTGGGCCGCACCTCCCTGTAAGCGAGTTCGGCTTGGGAGCCCTCAAGTCAGCCTCTGGGCTCACTCCTTAGCTCCTACGTTTCTTGAAGTTCTAAGCAGTTTCTCCCGCCGAGCTATGGGGTGGACACACCCCAATGGTGGTGGCTGGGTGCAGAAGCACTACCGGCCTCTCTGTGTCACGGGGAAACTTGTGCCTGCGGGCACTTAGCTGCGGGACCCTGAGAATCCTGGCGTGACTGTGGATCACCTCCGGTTTTCGAGAGTCCGCTGGGACCACAGAGCTCTCCCCTTGGGGATACATTTTAAAACTCAGGGCCCCAGAGCATGACTTTTGAAACAGCCAGGGAGGCATGGAAAAAGAACCTTCCGCTTGCAGGGATCCGGGCCTCGACCTTGGTTTTACAAACCCCATTGAAAGGAATTGATGAGCGCGTGGTGCAGTGGAGGGGTGGGAGACCCGTGATTATCCAAATAAATATGTAGCAGTCTTGACATCTGCTGTTCTTCTTTTGCTTTATTTCTTTTCCCTTTGGCATTTTGAGCTGGGGATTCCGGCAGAAGCGTCTGTGCGCGGGCACAGAGGCAAGGATTCTGTCTTGAAATCAGGAACTGGGTTTGTGTGAAGGAAGTGTCACCCACTCCCTCCCTTTTTCCTTTTTTATACTATCTTGCGTCTTTCTCCTTTGTGGCACCCCCTTTACCCCTTCCCATCCCCAAGCAGGTGGATGGGACACCAGGTGGCACCCCATCAGGATCTGCGCATCTCTGGGGGCTCCTGTGGCGGGCCAGAAGGAGCGCGGGGAGCCCACGTAGGACCAGACACTTTGTTTTAGAGGCTAAGGGTGCCTTTTGCCGACAGGCCTAGGCACCACTGATTTTCTCTTAGAACAGTTCGTTTCTTAGGGTTCTGAGTTCCTTCCCCAGCCTGGAGATTTCTTTTTTACTTTCTCGGAGCCTAAAACTCAGTTCTGGTTGCCGGGGTCCTGAGTGGGAGGGTTGATAGCCCTCGCGTGGTTCCACACACCCAAGGGGTCTCGAGGGGTAGGGGGTGAGATGAATTTGGACTCCCAGAGAGACTCTGGAGGTGGGTGAGAGTGGGTGGGTGATGAGAATGGAGTAGGAAAGGAGAAAAAAAAAAGTCTGGGCAATTTGAACAACTTTGGTGGCGGCGGGTTAGCTAGCGCTAGAGCAGGGATTTCGGGTTTCCGAACGGGCTTGGAGTTGTCTGATTTGGCTGAGGCTCTGCAGGGACACGCAAGAGGCGAGGTGCCGCTTGTTCCGACAACCGGGCGGGTAGACTGGCAGCGGCGACGCGCGGGGAGAGCTAGCCCTGTCATCTGGGGGGTGTCGGCGGGAGTGGCCCAGCCAGTCCGACGGGTTTGTGCCGGGAGCCGCGAGCCCTTGCCAGAGGCGCCTAGGCTGGGCCGCTTCGCGTCTGTGCGCGCCCGGGGCTGCGTCCGGGCTCCCGCTCCCGGAACCGGGTCCAGGGACCGGGCGAGATCAGAACAGTCGCAGGCGAGGAGCTCACGGCCCCGAGGTCCTAGGGAAGGCAGCTCGCGACCGGGCGTAAGGCAAGGGTTGGAGAAGCGGGCGGACCGGTCTCAGGCGGGACGCCTGGTCATGGAGGAGCAGCGCGTCAGCGGGCAGCCGAGTCCCGAGTCCCAGGCCCGGCCGCGCAGCAGAGAATCCCGCGGCCGGAGAGCGGCGGGAAGCACCTCCCAGACGCAGAACCCGGTGGGCAGCCGCGCGCGGGTCCCGGGAGCTCCAGCCCGCGGCGCGCGACCCCCGCTCCATCCCGAGGTCTGCCCCAGCCTTTTAGGTCCGATTGTCCTCCCTCGCTTCCTCTCCCCTCCCCCTCCCCCGCGGGCTCCCCCTCCGCAGCTCCGGCTCGGCCCCCTCCTCCCCCTCCCTCCCTCCTGCCCTCCCTTCCTCCTCCCCGGAGCTCCCTCCTTCCTCCCTCCCTCTCTCCTCTCCTCTCTCCTCTTGTCGCCCACACTTTCTTTCTCGCGCACGCACGCAGACACATCTTCCCTCTTCGCGCTCTCGCCCCTTGGCCTCCCTCGCTCGCCTTCTTTCTCTTTCACTTTTGCAGGCCCTGCAACCTTTTAAAATGTTGCCCCTTCGCTGTGATTCGCCAGACGCCGCGCCGCGGCCCCCCGCACGCTCGCCCGCTCCCTCCGTCGCCCGCTTTTTGTCTCTCGCGCTCCCTCTCCCCACCTCCGATTTGCTACACTGAGACTCCCGTCAATGACTGCATTGAGAGCCGGCTCCGGCGCGAGTTGCCTCTCCGCTTCACGCTCGATTTCCAGGCATTCTTCCCTTATTAAGTATTCGTGTAATATTAATAGTCATGAATATCTGCTATTAGGAGGCTCCAGGAACGCTGCCCAGCGCGGTTATTAGAAGCTGAAGTGAAGCCGCCGCTAAGAAAAGAGGGGGAGACACGGATTAAGGAACACTCACAGACACACACACACGCACGCGCGCGCGCGCACACACACACACACACTTTTCTCTCTTTTTTTTGCATTTTTTTTTGTTTGGTTGGTGTTTTTGTTTTTTTCTTAAAGAACTTTGAATCTTAACCGATTGCGGCAGGATCGTGGGTTTGACCAGCTGAAGGCGCCGCGCTACTCGGTGGTACAAGTTCGGATGGATCCGAGCGGGGCTCCGACGCTCGCGGGAGCGTCCGCGCGGTGACTGGAGTCCTGGGTGGCGCGGGGCTCTCAGAGTCTTTTGTGTGGGGCTCTCTCGGGCCGCCCGGCCGCCGGGTGCTCCAGGCGTGGTGTTTTTTGGCATTTTTGTTTTGTTTTTGTTTTTTTTTTTTTTTTTCCACCCTGACTGGTTACCCCAGACTCTTCGCAGATGTTAGTTCACAGTTTTTCAGCTATGGTGAGTCCCATCCCACCCCCACCCATCCCTGTTTCCTTAGGAATTCTGTTCCCGAAACCCGCAGCCGAGTTACTGCCCGCGATCCAGGGCTTCTTGGCCCGGGTTCCTAGTGGACAACTCTTTCCATTTGCATTCCTATCCCCCTTTCCTCCTTACTCTGGCTCTTTCCATCCCCCAAACCCAACGCGTCGTCACTACCCTGTCCCTGCTTGACCCGTCGGCTCACGCAAACCTACCCCGCAGCTCTTTCCCTGGGCCAGTTTCTCGCCTGGTTCCTCTTTATTTCCTTGTGTCTTCGCTTGTTCCAGAGCCGCTCTCCACATCTGATGCTTAATCCGTCTGTAGGGGAGTGAAAGACGCCCCGGTGCATCCCCTAGCCCGGGGCCTTGAGGCTGAACCTTGGAGGGTTCCGGGTCTCTGGAACCCACTCTTGGCTTGCTTTGAACGTAAAGTGAGGGGTTTCTTTTGCCCTTTGGGGCTGGGGTGGAAGGGGCGGGGGCCTCCGCCCCGGGGTGCTCCTCTTTCTTGTAAAAAGAACCCGGTAAGGCAGATCTGTCTATTTTAAACCCTGGCTCGGCGTCCCTTACTCCCCATTCATATCATAAAACAACCCTGCCGTGTAAAAACCTCCTAACAGAGGAAGCGGAAAAGACAGACCCCCCCCCCCTCCGCCCCACTTCAACCATGCAGTTAAAGCCTTTAAGCTGGTAATTTAAACGTGTGCTTTCTTACGGCCCCTGTGCGAAACATGTTTCTATTTAAATAGTCGTGAAATGGTAATAGTCTTTGAAGGTTTATGATTTTTTCCCCCTCCAGATTAAAGGAAGAGTAAACAATAACGCAGTGGCAGACAGGTTCAGATCCGGGAAAAGCAAAGGCCGCTTCTGCTGTTTAATATTTAGTGGCTGTTTGAATTTTGCTTAAGGGAGGTTTGGTACTGCGGGTATTAAGGGCATCCTTTTCATCTCCTTTCCTCCTTGGAGAAGAATGTCTGGGAGAGTCTGCTGTACCCCTAGATTTACATATTCTGATTTCTTTGCGTGTTTTGGAAAGGCCTGCTCCACGTCTTGGGTATTTTCCAATGCGAACAAATGTAGCGTAGACACCCCTCCACCCCAGCGTCCTGCAGAGGGGAATGGGTGATTTCCCCAAACCGGCTTGGGGCATGGATTTAGCGGGGGCAGCTAACTCTGCGCTCATTTCTTATTCTTTCCCTTTCGTCTTGCTTTCTTCCAGGACCGTCACGACGGCACCAGCAACGGGACTGCACGGTTGCCCCAGCTGGGCACTGTAGGTCAATCTCCCTACACCAGCGCCCCGCCGCTGTCCCACACCCCCAATGCCGACTTCCAGCCTCCCTACTTCCCCCCGCCCTACCAGCCCATCTACCCTCAGTCGCAAGATCCTTACTCCCACGTCAACGACCCCTACAGCCTGAACCCCCTGCACGCCCAGCCACAGCCGCAGCACCCGGGCTGGCCCGGCCAGAGGCAGAGCCAGGAGTCTGGGCTCTTGCACACGCACCGGGGGTTACCCCACCAGCTGTCGGGCCTGGACCCTCGCAGGGACTACCGGCGGCACGAGGACCTCCTGCACGGCCCACACGGGCTCGGTTCCGGGCTCGGGGACCTCCCGATTCACTCCTTACCTCACGCCATCGAGGACGTCCCGGTAAGAGGCGGTACTGAGGGCCGCGGGGAGGGAACGCAGCCCTAGGCTCACCTGCCCTCCCGGAAGCTTCACGGAGCCCAGGCCTGCGGGGCCTTGGTTTTCCTCAATAATAATTTAATTGGGACTGGGAAGTGATACTCACTTAAATCACTGGATTTAAAAATGAAAAAGTAGTTGAGAACAATGCTTCCTGGGGCTCGCACAACAATGCCTGGGTCACCACTTCGAGCCAACACAGAAATGGATCAGGCGATTGTCACTCTTCATTGTAGCGTCTCTCTCCGTGACAATAAATTGTGTAGATTGTGGGGGAGGATTTAATTCCATTGCTGAATGTGTTGTGGGGATTTCTCGCTGTTCTAGGAAAGAGGTTAAATTTAGCCCAGAGAGCTGCTGCTCAAAGGCGCACACAAAGTAAAAGAAAGTGTGAGAGACTCAGGAAAAAGGTCCTTGAACCGGGTTTTATAAGCATTAGTGAAACCCAGAAGTTATGCCTCCCCTATCCTGATCAAAGGGAAGCAAGTAGCAAACCCAAGCACAGGGACCTTAAAATGCAGCTTTCTTCTCTTCCTGGGGGTGCTAAGTGGTGACCTCATAAATCATTAGCTAGGTTCCCAACGCCTATCAGAATCTGCTACACTGCATATTCAATTAAATGTTTGGAGACTATTGGGCGCTGCGTTGAGTTCTAATTCAGTTATCAATAAATGCGGTTTAAAATGATTTCTAAATAAGGACGGCCTCAGCACATGTACTGTTTACAATGTAACTCAGACTATTGATAATTTGAAAATACTTTTAAAAATTAAATTTCAGACAGCATCTCAACTTCAGGTCTATAAATTTATGGTTTTCTCACAATGAAATGGAATTAGAGTATATATATTAATTATCATTATATATATAATAGTTATATATATATTAAATGCTATAAAGGCTTCTGTTAAAGGTACTTTTCTTCGGAAAGGAAATGTATCTGGATGTGATTTTTGCTTAAATGCTATTTCAAATTACTGCATCAAATATAGCAGCGGTATGTCTGTTGACAGTTTAATGATTGCCGAATTAGATTGTAAGGAAAACGGCCACATGAACTTACCTGATTGCCTGGCAGATTTAAAACGTTCTTGAAGTTCTACAGGAAAATAGAAAATTTATTACCTCTCTCATTTAGCCCAGTTAATCACTGAAATTTGTTAGTTATGCTTAACAGCCTTGCATGGAACACAGGAAAGCAGGCACTTGATCCAATGCAAGGCTTAGTGAGTTGTGTGTGTGTTGTATGTGTGTGTTCATATTTATATGTTTTTAGAAAATGATGCTTAGTGAATCTGAGGCAATATTTCATAAAATTAATTTTGAACAAAACTCGAAGTTATGATGATTTTAGTTTTCGTTCTCATAGAGTCTCTGAATTCTTTTCTTTGCCTGCTTTCTGGGAACACTCCAATAGCAAAATAGTATCTTAAGCCTGTGCATTGGAAATAGGTTCACTTCTGCAAAAATATCCTGTGGTTGGTGGGGATTCTTCATAGCTGTGTGATCACTCTTTGTGCTGAAATTGGTCAGTAGGAGAAATTAACCAAATGATCATATAAAAACAAGAAACTCAGTTGCTGTTCTTCCCACCCTCCCCCACCTTTCAAGGAAAAAAAAAAGATCTTTCAAAGGAATTTGGGTCAGGAAAAGGGTTGTTTTCAATTTTCTCGTGGCTGCCACAGTTAACTTTTGATAAGAATGACTGCTAAATATTTAAGAAAATCAAGTCAATGGTGAAAATTATTTAATCATTAATATCTCAGTGGGGTTTTAAACTTAACAGTCTTCCCTGTTTGGACAAGGTCTAGCTAGAAATAACAGAAATAAAAGTATTATGCCACAGTACATTTACTTTATGGGTTTAGGGTGCATGCATAAAGGGATCATATTTCCCTATATAGTTAAAACACAAGAACTGCAGCGGTAGTCATTTCTGAACATTTCTCAATTTAATTATACTTAAATCCAGAAGCACTTTAGGCAAGTTACAAATGAGAGCATTGAGTATAATAAAACCTGTAATAAAGCAACTTAGTACCATCCACCCGGAATCATTGCGATCAGGCACAATTAACAGGAGCATAAATCCAAGACAGAATGGAAAATGTTCGAATCAGTATTATTGTTGGACAAAGACTAGAGAAGGAAGTAATAGTTTTTTAAATGGCAATGCCTGTGCTTGGTAACGATTGCGAAATCTTCTCTCTCAGCAACCCTGGTGCTAATTTGTAAACACAGCCAGACATTATATTGCCTGTCAGTTTCTGCATTAGAAAACATGATTTCATTTTACTTTCTAATCACGTTTTGATTCTAGCACACACACATACACACATGCACACGTATACCCATCCATCTGTAAAAAGAGAGGGAGACAAGAGAGACAGAGAAAGGGGGGGGGTGCGCCCCACACTGCTGCTGGACAACGGGAAGGCAGCCTCAGAGGGTTTTTGTCCCTGATAGTTCCATAGTCCCACATTCCTGCCAGATTTACTGTAGGCAGCAGCTTTTTTGAAAAAAAAAAAAAAATTCTAGTTTTCCTTGAGTGAAGGTGTGTGTGTGTGTGACTGTGTGTGTGTGTTGGTGCTTTGTTGCGTTACCTGCAGGGTTTCCAACAATCTGCTCTTGCTCCCGCCCCTGTCATTTCTTCTATTGTGTTTCCTTGGCCTTGGCTGCCTGGACACTGGGATCCCCGAGGTTCCCAAGCTGCTTAGAGCTGCTAAAGCTAGGTGCATTTCTAGAGGTTGAGCTGCCTGTGAGAAAGATTAGGAACTCCCAAACTTCATTTAATTTTCAAAGAAAGTTTTATTCCCCCTCCCGTCCTCTTCAACGTGGATTATCTGCAGGGGTTGTGGGGAGGGGGAGGGAGGGAGAAATGGGCTGTGGGCGTACAGTGAAACCTCTCGAGTTTTAAACCTCTAAATTCAGTAAGCCAAGATGAGATGTTTATATATAAATGTCATTATGGGGGGGCACTCCCATCCTCCACCTTCCCCTCCCCCACCTTCCAGGGAATATTCATTTCCTTTTGTTTTGATTATACACTTACATTCATGTGTATCCTTTTGTTGCAGCATGTAGAAGACCCGGGTATTAACATCCCAGATCAAACTGTAATTAAGAAAGGTAAGCCATTTCCTTCTGCATTCCAAGCATGTCCTTACAGGCAGAGTGCTATTTAAAAGAACTTGCCGGGCTGTATTTATTTTTTTTCAAATAGGATTTCCTAAAGGCTCAGAATTAACAAATAGATAGGCATAGAAGAACAGCGCTTAAAGAACCAGCTTTCGGGATCTTGGTAATGGCAACAGGCTAGCTTTGTTCAGATCACGATTTCGGTGCTGAATTTAGTTTAATCATCTTTGGACACAATGAAATGTGCGAAAGTTGACCTGATTTGGAAGTGGCATTTCAATTTGGAAATGGTTTCATAGTTAATTCATTGTGTGGAGTTAAAGGCCATGAGGGTTAAAAAGTGTATCAAGCTGAAATAATACAAATAATTTAATATTAATGAAAAGACAGATGAAAAAAAAAGCACTCTATTGGGGGAAGAAAACTTGCATGCTCTCTGATTTTGTTTCTAGTCTCTTGATGGAGTCTCGGGGCTTTAAAACTTGGAGAATTAGGTTAACAAAAATTTAGCTTTTGGTCAAAAGTAGCATCTTGAAGATGCTACTATTGACCTACGTATTTAGAAAAGAAATTGTTAAAAATGTGTTACGTGGTTTGGATGAATTTATCATCTGCATTGTGCTTAGTGGGTAGAAATAAAGTTTCTTGCATTAAATGCAGTAGCAGTATTTTTTGTTGTTGTTGTTACGGGGGAAATAATTTCAGGGTTCTAAGGCACCACCAAAGGACGATGGTAGAGAAAATGTTCTCATTTCTAACTCCAATCAGTATATTGTTAGCTAGTTTAAAGTTTCATTTTTGCATTTGTGAAATCTTTGTCATGTCAAATTAGATGTACAAGGGATAAATCTTAAGAGGTGCTCTTTCCAAGTCGACATGATAATTGGCTCTTTTATTAGTAATCTCTCAAGAGTTCGTTTAACTCCTATTGTCTCTATTAGCCTCCCCAGAGCTATTAATGTCACAAGTGATCTATCCAAAACCTAGAGCCCCTCACCTCCCCATACGACTAGAATATCCCCCATTAACAAAACAAAAAATAACAATAACAAAAACCATGAGAAGCGTTGTGATGAGAATATGTGTTTATTATTATATGTCTCCATGTGGAATTTTAAGACTCAAATGCATTGTACTTAAATGGTTGCCGATGCATCTGAATTATATTGGTATTAAGAAATAGACCCCTCGTTTTGCTTGAATTTGTTTTCTAACAATGGTAGGTCCAACAATGAAGAGTTTATGGTTTTAACTGATTGGATGTCCTACCCCTCATCCCTTGGAAGGGACTTAGGCAGACAGGGTTCATTTAGTATTTGCTCAACAAAAGGATGCATTCCTAGTGTTCAACTGTAGGCCTATTCTTGAGTCCCGTTAAAAACTGGGCTTGGAATGATCTCCAAAACCCGAGTGTCTTTCAAAATGGAACATAAGGGCCTATCGATGAAAAGACGTTCGTGTTGTGTGTGACAACAGAATCCGCCACTTGCCAGTCAGCTAAATGGAATGTCCATTTAACCATCGAAGCTATCCGCTGGTTTTAACGGCAATTTCTTTCCGCACTGAGCCTTTCGTCCGCAAAACTCGGACCACATCAACCCTGCCCTGGGGTTTGCACATGAAACCCACCCGCTGTCTCCCCAAACAAACACCATCTCCATCTCTCCGGAGCCCTCCGCGAGCCCCGGGGGTAGCGACAGCACCAGCCACCTCTAGACAGCTTGCAGCAAGGCTGATGGCAGGAAGCCTCTGCGGGATTCTTGAGCTGAGCAGCGCGCGGTCGGCCGGTCCCCTCAACACGCGCGTCTGTCTCCGCAGGCCCTGTGTCCCTGTCCAAGTCCAACAGCAACGCCGTCTCCGCCATCCCCATCAACAAGGACAACCTCTTCGGTGGCGTGGTGAACCCCAACGAAGTCTTCTGTTCAGTTCCGGGTCGCCTGTCGCTCCTCAGCTCCACCTCGAAGTACAAGGTCACGGTGGCGGAAGTACAGCGGCGCCTCTCACCGCCCGAGTGTCTCAACGCGTCGCTGTTGGGCGGAGTGCTGCGGAGGTGAGGCTCGGCCCCGCCCACCTCGCCCCGCCCCGCCCACCTCGCCCCGCCCCGCCCTGCGGACGCGGCCCCAGTGCGCCTGCGCGGGGCAGTAGCGGTCCGGCTCGCTGGCAGGAAAAGGGGCGGGGAGTAGAGGGGAGTCTGGTGGGCGGGGCTAGAAGTGTGTTGGGGTGGGAAAGAGTGAGGCGGCGCGCCTGCGCACTCCGGGGACTCGGCTTTCTTCAGCACGCAGGCGCAGCTCTCACTGCTGTGGGCTCAATCCCTGCCTTGACAGCCATGGGGCGCCGTGCAGCTGCCTTTTCCCTGGTTGCGCACAGGTTACAAGCTCAGGAAAACTTCTGGGCTCCTTGCTTTGCCTTACCACACTGTAGGGTCTCTGATGGGAACCGGCCGCCCTTGAGTGGGGCCTGGTTCCCAAGTAAAGCAAGAGAATGACTTCTGCTTGCTGCATGCTTCCCCTACCCTGGTTGCTGGCGTCTCCCTCCTGAAGGCATCCCCTACCCCCAACCCCAGAGGCGCTGGCTTTTGAGGGTTCTGATTTACTGTGATATGTGACAGGCAGTGTTCAGGGCACATTTCCAGTTTCTATTCATTATATGTAGTCGCTCTCGGGGACTGCATCCGTTAACACAGGATTCTCACCTCTGAGGTGGAGTGAGCCCTTTAGTAGAGAAGATTTCACAAGGGCCAGTTGTGTGTCCTTCTCCATCTTAGAAGTCTACCCAACGGTGTGAGTTGTAGACTTACTGTTAGTTTTGACCAAAAAGTATGTCTCTTACTATCTTCTCCATATAAGACCATAATTCACTAACTTTTTTCCCTGGAGGTGGGCCTTGGTGGGTACAGCCCACCTACATCCTCTTAGAGGGTTTTGCAGAATTAATATCAGCGACTCCCATTTTCATTCAGTCATTTGGTTTTTTTTCCCTGAGCTCTTTTACCGCCACAGATCTTTCTCTGCCCTCTGCTTTTTCCTCCCCTTCCCCCATCACCAATATCGGAGACTGCTTACCTAAGGGAGTATAATCTAATCCACACAATTAAAGAACCACTTGAGTAGGGAATAAAATCTGAAATTAATTAATTTGCTGTTTTATTTAAACAATTTATCTTAACCACTTTCTGATTATGGGAGTCTATTTAGACATCTATTTAGAAGTGCCTCCGTTGTCTCTGAAATCGGGGAGACTTTTGAAGGCTGCTCTCAGCCCTTCATCCTTTTGGCATTTCCAGTTACGCTCCTGACGTGGCGTGTAAACAGTTGTCGAGATGCATTTCCCATCGGGACCAAAGCCAGAGCATGAAATGTGAGCGTGATGATAACTTTGGTTACTGGGAACAACCTAACAGCAGACCTTGTGAAGACAATTTAAAGACCCCACTGGGCTTTATGTTCTTGTAGCAACAGGGAAAACACACAGTAATCAGCTGATCTCAAGAATACCTCCAACTCCAGAGTTCAGATGTGTGTGTGTGTGTGTGTGTGTGTGTGTTGTTCTTCAGAGAACTGGAAAGTGAAAAGCTCCCAACCTGCCACAGTAGTCGCAACTGTAACTGAACACAGTGGGTGCTTTACAGTTGGACAAGCCTTTATATCCTATGATCTTTCTGTACAGTTAGTTCCTTAGGCTCTTGTCCCCTGCCTTGGGGTCCTGCCTCTCAGTTTTTAAGAACATGTTTCAGGAAGTATTCAAAATGGCTTTAATGTGACGAAGAGCAAGTCAGTATTTTCTAAATCCCTGTCTCCACGTGTTTATGAAACAGGGCGAAGTCTAAGAATGGAGGAAGATCTTTAAGAGAAAAACTGGATAAAATAGGATTAAATCTGCCAGCAGGGAGACGCAAAGCTGCCAATGTTACCCTGCTTACATCTCTAGTGGAAGGTAAGCGAATCCACTTGCTAACTAGAAGGGAATTGTTGTCTAGGCAAATGGATAATATTTAGTGGCCAGATGTTGGAGTGTGTTTTGTGGACTTGGATGGTTTCACCTTTCCATGGAATATAACTGTAACTGGAAGTGAGCAGAATTTCTGGGGTGTCAAGGAAAAACAAGAAACAAAACAAAACAAAATGTCCAGAACCTATTTATATACACTCATGCCTGTATGTTGCTCTTCCTCCCTCCACAAACTTGCCCTGTCCTCAGCACAAATCTGACCTAAACAATGCACAGATTTAAGAGTTACACACTCCCAGGGTTCCTGCCTCCTCTAAAGAGCTCAGCGGTAAATCACCTAAGTTATTCTGACATCTGCATTTGAGAAATGCGTGACCATTACTTCCTGAATTAATTTGGGAATCTTTGACCTGCATCCTGATTTAAGACCATCCTGAAAGCTCAGGGTTCAAAGCCCTTGTAGGTTGTTGTTTTCCAAACATACACGTTCTCATCTCTTGCTTCACTGTGCTTCTTTCTCTCCAGGAGGGGAAGAAAGTGAGCAATTTTAGAATTTGGATGGTCATATACAGAAAGAGAAAAAGAGGCAGACACATTGTCAAAGAGTTTCTTGTGGCAGGTTTTTAGCACACGCCCTTCCAAATTCCTTAAGCCAAAACACCATCCCTGTCCAGTTATACAAAACCTGTCGCCAGAATCTGCTCACATTCCTGCCTCTTAGATTCCTAACTTTTTCTGCTCTTCAGTTGGTGTAAGGTTGGGATTCAGGGCTTGGGTGAATGCATGATTTTCTTATGCTTTTTGTGGCATGTGTTATATCTCATGTTAATAGTAAAATAAAAAGATAGTGATTTATTATTCCCAGGCAGTTTTAAGGCTGCATTTGTATTTCGGCGAGGCAGATTTATCTTATTTGCATAGTGTGTTGGGGGAGATACTGCCACTGCATACAAGTTTTTTTTTTTTGGAAGTTTCTAGAAAGCATCTGAAACAAATGCTTCTGAGGAGGAACGCTATGATTTCCATGTGTTAAATGGTGTTGAATATGATGATAATGTAATTTAAAAAAGAAAAAAAAAAACAACCCCAGCCATTGTTCAGGTCCCAAAATTCAAATACAGCTACATTATATTAAAATAATGGTAGTCTGTAGAAAACCCACTATTCATATCCTACCCCCCAAATTATACATCATGCAAGTGGTGGTGGCAGCTGAGGATGGAGTGTGAGAGTTGGTCTGGGTCTGGGGGTTGAGAGCTGCAGCAGGGAGGCAGTTTCTGGAGAACTGTTATTGTTTGTGATCCGCTCCATTTTATGGAAACAAGCTCTGCGGAGAGGGCTTTGATGCTCTAATTGGCGCATGCGTTCTTCCGGAGCTGGAGCTAATGGCAGGAAGCCCTGCAGTAAAAACCAACTGGTTCAGGAAATTAAAACCAAAGATTCGAAAATCAACAACACAGACAGACTCAGTGGAGTGACCCTCAAATCCTCCTGGTTAATCGGCTTGGATGAACAGATAATTATATGTGATCAAGTTAAAATGTAAACTCTCAGTTGTTCCCTTGCTGAAAAGCTCGAGGAGTAATTATGAACCATCATTGATGAATGTGTTGAGAGGTGTGAGTTTGGGACAGCGGGGGCCATTTCCAAGCGGAAGTTGGGGAAACCAGTTAGGGATGGGTAGGGGGCGAAAAGGGAGGATTAACATTCTCAAACCATTTTGACCTTGTAAGCCAACTTGGCACTTTCACGGGTGAGTACAGTCTCCAGGTCTCACAGAGGAGAAATGTCTAAAGTAAGAAAACAAGGGGTTTCTGTTCCTTCCAACTTTTAGGGAAGAAAGTTAAGGGAGTTGGGCGTGGAGAGGGAAGGGAACTTTGATCCCAATTTCTTCCTTCTCTGGCCCTTACTTCTTCCCTCCTCTTACCTCTTGCCAGGAGAAGCAGTCCACCTAGCCAGGGACTTTGGGTATGTGTGCGAAACTGAATTTCCTGCCAAAGCAGTAGCGGAATTTCTCAACCGACAACATTCCGATCCCAATGAGCAAGTGACAAGAAAAAACATGCTCCTGGCTACAAAGTAAGGCATTTACCTCTGCTGGGTCTAGGCTGTTCACTGTCAAAAGAATCTCAGCCTGTGCTTTCTTCTCTTTTCCATTCCTATGGAGCAGCTTTTGCTGGGAATACCGAGGGCAGAGCACAGACATGAACGAGCACAGTCTGCTTCCCCGAGGAAGCAGAGTGTCTTGTCAGTGTGTGCCCTGTGTCCCTCCCCCCCCCACTCCAGTCTCTGTCTTATTTGCTAACTTTTAACTGAATGGGAGTGTGCGTGGTATGTGGCAGGCATTTCACTGAAAGGGTGTGGATTTGTGACAGCGTTGTTTCATGGGGGGGGAAAAAAAAACAACAGAGTCAAGTCCTCAAAGGTACCCACCAGGCTCGCCTAGGTCCACATTTTGTCTTTATCAGCATGTTCGCCAAGGGCAAAGATTAAGCCGGGACCTGCAAAATGTGCCATCCCAAACTGCCCTACTTTCCCCTCCAATCCGGATTCCACTTTTCCATTCCTTTCTAGCCTCCAAAGTCACCCCCTCCACACACACACACATGCAGAGACAGACAGCTTCACAGTCACACTTAACCTGTAGTTTTAGCCTACAGGAAAGCTGTCAAACGTGTTTCAAGATGGCCCAAGTTTATCTTCCCATAGGTGCCTGGGCTGAATAGACTTCTCCTGATTGACGAGAAAATGACTGTCTTGATATGTTTTCTGGAAACTTAGAAGGCTTGTTTAGAAGTCCTTAATTATCCAAAGCTGGTGTCGGCAGAGGGCACAGCAGCAGAGAATTGTGAGGCTGAGGCTTGGGCCTGGTGCCATTGCTTCCTGGGTCACCATTGCAGGAAGGCCTGCTAGAGCTGGCTTCCAGGGCCAGCCAGACTTCCTGGGTCTTTGAGTCAGTCTGTCACCCAAGAGCTCACATTTTCTACTAGATTTGCTGACCACCAAACCACTGGGGCACCCCTGTCTCTGTCATCCAGTCTTGGGGTTGCAGATAGAAGCCTTCAAGTTGGACTTTTGCATGAGTTCTGGAGATCCGAACTCAGGTCCTTAGCAGTATGGTCGAGCCTTTACCCAGTGAGCTCTCTCTCCAGCCCCGCTGTTGTTTTTAAAAAGCCAAATTTGCCTTTCTGTCGAAATTCAAACCTCACTTGGTTTGAAGGTCAGTGAGAGCAGACACCAGTCCACCACCTCTGACTGTGGTTCCTTTGGGGGTGTGGGAGGCCAACTCCGGTGATACTTTGAAAAGCAAAACTGATGGTTCTACAGTCCTGAAGAGGGACCTTGTGTTTCTAACTTCCGGTGCAACTCTACTTTGTCCTCATCTAGCCCTAGCCTGTAATATGCTTTCCTATGTTCAGGGTGTTTGCTGTGAATGAGAAAGATCCATGCAGAAGTTTGTTGTGCCTGGGGGGTGGGGTGAGAAGGGAAGGTCTTTTTGAGGTAGGAAGGGGATCCATTTAAGGGAGGAGAGATGGTTTAGCAGTGACAGGCTTCATCCTTCTGAGTGCCTGGTTTAGGTTCCTGGGGGTGGTGGTGGGGCCTAGGTGGCAGAGGGGACTGCAAGGAGAGGTGCTTTTTCCTCTGCCTCTAAGGCCTGACTGGAGCTTCACCTTGCTCTCTGTTCCCAATGCAGACAGATCTGCAAAGAGTTCACTGACCTGCTGGCCCAGGACCGATCTCCCCTGGGGAACTCGCGGCCCAACCCTATCCTGGAGCCTGGCATCCAGAGTTGCTTGACCCACTTCAACCTCATCTCCCATGGCTTCGGCAGCCCGGCGGTGTGTGCAGCGGTCACCGCCCTGCAGAACTATCTCACCGAGGCCCTCAAGGCCATGGACAAAATGTACCTCAGCAACAACCCCAACAGCCACACGGACAACAGCGCCAAAAGCAGTGACAAAGAAGAGAAACACAGAAAGTGAGGCTCTCCTCCTACCCCGCGCCCACCCGCCTCACCGGCCCGCGCCCCCCACTCGCCCTTCCCCCACCCGGCAGGTGACAGCTCCGGGACCAGCCACTCCTACTGCTGCTGCTACGCCGCGCTGCCGCGCCGCCCCTCGTCCCCGGTCCTCGGGACTGCTCTCGACTGCCAGTGAGGCAGCCGCTGCCTACTCAAGCGCCCTGCCTCAACTTCCCCATCAGCACCAACACTCCCTTTCCCTCATCTGGAGCCTAAAAGAACAGAACAGGTCCTGAAGCCAGCAAAGAAAAGTTCTGTCGCGTTTGTGAACCTTTTTTTTTTTTAAAAATCAAATCAACAACAAACATTAAAACTTTTTTTTCTAAAAAAAGAACGTTAAAAAAATTAAAAATATATGAGCTTCATGGGACTAACTCATCGCCTTCCCTTGCATACTTCAGATTGTAGCCATACTTTAAAAAAAGGCAAAGAGGATAATGACATTTTTATCAGTATTGTGAATAAACTTGAACACAAATACAGAAGTTCTATGTCCTGTCTTCAGTTGTAGAAGTTGTCTCTGCAAGGTGCCCACTTGAACTTCCTCTGATGACACAATCCACACTTCTATAAGGGAATCAGTGTTCACGTCTCTGTATATATTTATTTATGTGTAATTTAATGGGATTTGTAAATATGGTGAGTCTGTTTTAAACCTTTTTTTTATTTATCTGGTGATCTCGTTTACCTCCTGTTTAGTGGGTTTTGGAGCCTCCCTATTAGTTCTTCATGTGGTTTTACTTACTTAGAAACCCAGGGTTTGGGTGATTTCCCCCTCCCCTTCTGGAATTCATGAAGTTAGCCCCTTGGTAGCATGTTAATGATGATGAAGAAACAGCTGAACAAAACTTTTTAAAAGTAAAATAAAATTTTATATATAATTAGTATTCCATTTAGATTTTCATTGAACTGAAAGGAAAAAACAGAGTGATATTGGGACATCATTGGAGAGATTTTTTTTTAATGGTTTGATAACCCTCCTATGGAATCGTGGGGAGAAAAATAAAGTTTATTTGAGTTCCTTGTGCTCCCTTAAAAGCGTCCTCTGAGCAATAAATGAATATTGTCTTTAAACCAAGGGTTAGGGATTTCTCTGTGCTCTCTCTCTCTCTCTCTCTCTCTCTCTCTCTCTCTCTCTCTCTCTCTCCCTTTTTGTTCCACTTCAAGCATTTGCGACCACCTGGTATTCCGCGTCTTCACTGGCCACATTGGAAGCAGTTCTCGATGTACTGTGCTGAGTTGCGCTGGCAGTCGTTTCCATGCCTGTCAATGTATCATAGTCCTTTGTTGCCCAGATAAATAAATATTTGATACGCTTTATGTCGATTTTTTTTTATTCAGTGGCTGTCTTTACCCAGGCGTATTTTTGTTCTTGGCAGTATTTTTTATTCAGTATGGTTACAGTAATTGAGTTTAACTCTCCCTTGGCAATTGCTCTTTGCAATAAGCAGCTGAACCCATTGTTTCCCTCAAGTATAATAAAAACTTACTTTCAACTTGGAGTTCAGAGCAGGGTATCATTTAGATATTCCACTGAGTCTGTATTCAGACAAATGACACAATAAAACCCAATGTATTCTTTTGGATAAAAGATTGTTTGTACTGCTAAAGGAATGACGTCCTATTGCTTCCTGACTGGGGGGCATTAACTTTATTATTAAAAATAAAGTTTTATTTTATTTATGTTGATCCTTTAGCTTTTCATTTGCATTTTGGAAGCCAACATATTTAAACCCTCAGAACTAAACGCTAGGAACGACAACGCTGGTGGCATGTGGAAGGACCAAAGATGCTCTCCCTCCCATAACTGCATTCCAATCTGTCTCCGAAGAAAGCTCAAATGGGAAATGATTAGTTCACTAGCACAAAGGAGATGCGCATTTTCATCTTCCCTTGTTTGCCTAGGCTTTTATGGCTTAAGCTAACCCTATCTCCCTGGGAGGAGGAAAGGTGCCAGAAAGGTACGTGGTCCACAGAAAGAGAGGCCAGTTGCCCCCATTTGCTTTAATATTTCATTTAGAGATGAATTCGCTACTGGAGCCAGTAGAGGGGAATGGCAAAGTAGGTGGGTCCCCAGAATCTCCGACACCCCCTCCCCCTCCCCAAATGCAGACACACCCTTTTCTATCTCCACACAGCCTCAGAAGTGAGGTGGAAGGGGGTGGGGGAGGGCGGCCCATGCAAGGCTTTCCTATCTGTCTTCCACAATAACAGGACTGTGTGCCTGCTCTGGGGGAAAGGGAGGACCTTCTTGCACAGGAAGATGGCGAGTCCAGAGCTTTTGTAAATGGAATTTGTAATTCATTGCCTTGGAAGTGAGGTGGCTTTTTATTTGACTTTTTTTTTTTTAATATTTTAACAGAAATACGGAGGTTGGCTAGGTGGAAGGTTTAGAGGGAACCTGTGTAGATGGCCATGCGGAGAAGAAATGACTTGTGTCCCTGTGCTTTGGCATGCTGAGGACGAGAAGGCAAAGGCAAAGGTCTTTCCCGAGTGTCCATTTTTGCAACCTTTTCCTTCTAATCTCCTTACGGAAGGCAGTGTGAAATCAATCTCCACCAACCAACGAGAGTTGGTGGGGTCTAAATTCTATTTTCCAAAGCCAGAGAATTCATAACAATAGTGGGTTAAAAAAAACCATTTCCGATGGAAAGTGTATTCTCAGAACGCAACGCGGCAATTGTTTTTTTTTTTTTTTAAAGTGGTTATTTATTATTTCCTAGAGAGACTGGTTAACTGTAACGTAGATGTAACAAAATAATGAGGCGAATGAACCCTAACTGTACATACTGTTGACAGAAACGAAATGCACACAGCGTCGTAGCAGGTGAAGTGAAGCATTGTCTATCAGGACTGCTTTTCTTGGCTGCATCTCAGATTGTGTGGGGGATCCTAACCTCAGGCACAATAGCATTCGTAAACAGCCTTCCATTGCTGCTCTTTCTCCAATGACACATAAATACTCATTTTAAAACGAAAACAATCTTATTAAATACCATTCATTCAGAGCTGGATTTACAGATGCTTGTTACATTGGAAAACCTGAACCCAATATAATCTTTGCATCCCAGGAAAAGATAGAAAGGAAATGGTGGCTGGAACAGGACAAGGTGAAGATAAACAATGGTCCACAACTGCGGAGAATCAGTAATTTTGATTTTGCAGTGGGACTCATGATATTGCCATTGTTTTTTAAACAATAAAATTAAAAGGAGTTATGAACATTACTGGAGGTGATTATAATTTTTTTTTTAAATTGAGATAACCAAGGGCTATGTGAATTTTGGCTTTTTCTGTTGTAACTTAATCTTCCCAAACACGTGAGGATTGCTTAACAGGCCCCAGTGTTTACGTGCTAACAACAAAGATTTTCTTTGGATTAGACCAGATCAGGATACATAGTTGAATTATAAAGATGCTCGCCAGACTATGCTAATTACCACACCCAATTTTCATGGAAACACAATGCTCTTTCTAGGTGGCTAGTCAGAGTCACCCTCTCTATACTCCCTTTAAAAAGCACAATCCAACCCACTCCTCCCCAAAATCGAATATTAATACAATTTGTGTTCTTGATGGAACTACCATCAGGACTGCAATGCCCCGCAGCTGAAATAATATTTAAAATAGAAGGGATTTGACATTTGAGAAGTCAGTGGCTGAAATACCCAGTTGTACTTAGCTAATTCAGTCCTTAACCTCTGGTTTCAAATAAATCAATTACAGTCGATTCCACTTCAGTTCAGAAGTGCACAGGGTTTTAGTTAATTGAATACATTTTATTCACTTGCTAGGAATATTCATTTATCAAAATTCCAAATTTAATGTACGTTTCTTTACAACTCAGGTTATGTTAGACTGCACAATCAAATCCAATTTACCTGGATTCCTCCAAATCCCGCTTAAAATCCAAATTTTATCTACTCTAAAAAAAAAAAAAAAAACCAATGTCTCCAGTTCCTTCAACCCAAAGGGTGTTCACAATAACTCTATGTAAGGCAGGAGAGTTTCCTCATAAAGAAAAAAAAAAGCATATGGTCACCAGGCTTGTTCTAAGTTTAAATAGGTTAAAAACAAAGCTGGATTACTCCATTTTAAAAGTATAGACTTGAAATTAAAAAAAAAAAAGACCTGCATGGTTTCTATTAGAGTTTTACTTTGTTGGACAGGTACTCAGCATTTTGTGGTCTTAAAGTCATAGGCTACCTTCTTAACTCCAGCCCTTCCCTTGTCTCCCACCCTAGGGCTTTTTGAGAAGTGCACGAATTAAATAGGAACTGTTAAGCAAAGCAGGACAGTTGCATGTGCCCACATGAAGTTGTGCTTTAAGCAGATATTGATGTATGCAGTGTTTTATATTTATTGTTTGCAGCATCCTGCTGGCAGCCGTTTACTCTTTGGAAAGGAAAGGGGTTAATTAGCGTCATTATCAATCACTAATGCTTGCCTAACGTGTCCAAAGAATAATCAAGTTAGAGGAGGGCATGAAGCCAACAGCTGCTTCAGCCCAGTTACAGATCTTTTAAGCCACTCAGTGATGGCGTGGAGGGGAGGCTGGGTGGGGGACAGAACCTCCACTGCCTGGGTAAAAGGGCTATAAAAATCAGGTCAACTCACTAGAGGCAGAAGTAACAATACATATAACCAACATTTCCATCCCTGAGTTGCATACAGGTGCAGAGATGGCTGCAACCAAGACAAGATGATTGAAATTTGCTCTTATTTATTTGATTATCCAAACTGGAGACTTGAAGAAACAGATCCACATTTCCTTATTGCTAACTGCTGAATGGGAAGAGGGAGGGAGGGGAGAAGGGAAGGAGGAGGGAGAGAGAAAAGATAATCCAGGAACACAAAAGCCACCTCCCAGCAAAGGTCAATAATTGCTCCACCCTAGAAGAATAAAATCACTGAGCCAGTGACGACAGCGTTTCTTCTGCATCCTGTCTTAGGATATATTGGAATATCCGTCCTTGTAACTTTCAACGAGCCATTCTTTCCTAGACTAAACTTGGCTCAATAGCTGAACTGTACAAATATGTCACCTCTGCTCCCCGCTATTCTTAAAGACACTGTCCTCCCTTTGGCCCACCTGGGACTAGAAACTGAAAGTGTATCCCTCTTGAGCATTCCTTCTAGGAGATGCAGATCTTTAATAACCTAGGGAACCACGAGTCAGAACTAAAGGTGTCATTAATGATCCATTAATGATCGGAGTTGAGTTAACTGCCTCTCCGGAGGTAGGGATGAACTAAGTCAGGATAGACAATTTAGAAACAAGTGAGCAGTGCAATTGAATGGAACAGGGATGTGAGGACATGGATTAGACATATTCCCAACCAAATCAAGCTATCTCCAAAGAAATAATTGGACTGCAGGGTTGTCTATAGGGTGGGGAGATAGAAGTATGCTGGACCAGAAAAGTGTGTAATTCAAGTATGTGGACAGTTCCCAGTTGAAGACAGAAAGTCTGCTGTGTATAAAAAGAGGAAGGAAATGGGGTTGTAGGATGGGTGGAGGG